AGAAGGTATGTCAAATTGCTACAATTACAAACTTCTAGAAATTTAAGCCTTTTGAAAGGCAAGTTTTCTTGAGGCTTCTTGTACCAAATTTCAATCAATTCAGGAAATTCGAAAAGTTTCAAATCCTCCAACCCATAACATCTAGCCTACAAGATGCAATACATTAATTGCTGGTTAAACGACAAGAAACAATCGATAGCAATTATATTAATAATAAAAGTAAGAATAAAAAACAACTTTTTGCATTTGATAAAAATTAGATTGGACAAAGATGAAGGCCAAACAAAGATTTGGACAAAGACAAAGAGTTCTTTAAAATTTTCAAATTCCAATTTGACTATTAATAATTTACAGCATTTTTTTTTCTTTGAAATTATGTTACGATCCCGCCACAAATAACCTATTTTAAAATTTTAATTGAGAATTTAAGTTTTTGTATAGTCATTTTCATTTTCTTTCTTATCCAAAGAAATCAGTCTCTTCCTCCTGCTAGAAAACGTTGGTTATTTGCTTTGAATAGGTTTCTAGTTAATGTTTCTTTATCTATACCAGGTTCCAAACACAAGTACTATAGATCCTTAAAATTATGTTATGATCCCAAGACAAATAATCTATTCCTTTGAATGGCTATACATACAAGTGTTATCTCAAGTCAACAGAAATTTCAAATGTGAGTACAAGGATCGGACATGGATATATGCTAGGGTAAAGCAAAGAACACGTGTAACAAATTTAACTAACAAAGTGTTACAATTTGTTTTCTCTCTCAGTTTATTCTTTTGCGCAAAACTTGATTTGGTAGCAGCGCTTATTATTGGTGCTATTGGTGCTACTTTGTATGCTTATCATTGGCAAAATTTACATTTTACCAACAAAGGGCTAGGAGTAGTACATAAAACTTGGAAATTAAGGTAAAAAACATAAGTAAATATTTTGAATTAATGCACACCTTTTCTGTGAACATCCTTTTTATGGTGGAGTTAAGGTTGCCTTCCCAGAACCCTTCATCTTCATCCAGAGTCAATTTCACTTTTTGCAGTTTATTAGTGGTGCTGCATTCCCCTCGAGAGAAGATGTGCATATTTGGGCAACCCATCACAATTACTTCTTCCAAAGATGTAAGTTCAAAGCCACAATTCCCTGAGCAAAAGCTTGCTAGTCTTGGTAGACCACGAAGTAGCAAATACTTGAGTTGGATGAAAGCAATGCCATCCTTAACTTCTTCACCCACACACGCCACAATTTCTTTTAGCATTTGACATTTACTTATACTCATTTTTGTGAGCTGCACCATGCTTTTGGCTGTTGAGTATTCAATTAAATTTATGAGTTCATGACATGCAGATACTTCCAAAGTTGTCAAATTCTTGAAAGATACGAAGGATGGCACCAAATTCTTTAAGTTGCTGCACTGTAACACTTCCAGGGTTTTCAGGTTATAGAAAACTGATTCCAAAAGTTCAGATAACCTTAATTCACTTGACTCAGTAAGTGCAAGTGCAGGTTTTGCCTTATCACCAAGTCCTTGACACTGGAATAGTTCAAGAAACGAAGCTTCACTAACAACAAGCTTTTCAAGATTTGGTGACTGAAAGAGGAAAGGTTGGACAACTGATTGCTCAGGTAATTGGATGGGTTTAAGAACTTTTAGTTTGGGAAAATAATCCCCTGGATATTGTCCATGCCATATCTCCTTCGTAATATCATTGTTTTTCAATTCCAGTTCTTCTAGACAAGGGAATGTGGCCTGAAATATATATGGAAATATAATATGTTAAAAATGAATAAAAAAAGCAGGATGCAAAATGGTTACAGAATAATACACATCTACCGTATTCAATTTATCACTAGCTGATACACATGAGCAAGAATTGCTCAATGTTCAGATTTTGTTAGCCATCTCTAATTTTTAGTTTAATGTTGGAAAAAAAAATAAATATATGCAGATTTTGAATTTTTATTAATTCATGAATTAGAAATCAAACATCTATTACCACAAGACAAAAGAAAGGAAAAAAAATTCTAAATTCTTGTATCTTTAGATAGATTAATAGTTACTTCAAGTTCATAAATAATATAAAAAATACAAAAAGGGGTTTAAAAGACAGATTGTATATTAAAAATGCAGTTCATCTTATGAATTTACTAAAATACTCTGAATGAAACTTTTCTTATTTTATTTCATTAAAGGTATTTAAGTTTAATGTAAAATTCAAACTGTATTACATATATCACTAAAAAGTATTACCTCTATACATTTTTCTTTAAAAAAAGTTTCGTTTTCTTAATAAGCCGATCTGGAAAATAAGCATATATTAAAAATGTATTATATATAGAATATACTTATGAATATGTTCATTTAAGAGAAAAGCTAGGCTTTATGCAAGTGCATCCGATACATGAGCATACTTCTTTAAATTACCTCACATATCCAGAAAAAAGATTATTTAGTTTGAATTTCAAATTGGTGATCTCCTTTTGAACCAACTATGATGAGTTAATTATCGTTATAATTTTTTAAATATTTTATATATATTATGCACTTGATTACCTCAATTTGAAGATGT